TTTTTTTTCCTTTATAGGTGGTCATTGTCCCAGCAGCATTTATTTAAGAGTCACTTCTTTCCCTAGTGATCTGTCATGTTCTCTCTGGCATATAACAAGTTGTCATATACACGTTGGTCTGTTTCTGCCCTCTCTTCTGTTCCATTGCTGAACTTTATTCCTGTGTATACATTGTTCACTGACATAGCTTTATAATCATTTTCATATGTGATAGGACAAATTCCTCCTTCTCCTACCTTCCTTGTACTCCTCCCTGTTTCTCTTTCCCCATCTTGTCCTCTTTCCTCCTCTTCCCCCCCAGCCCCCCGGCTTCCCGTCTTTCTGCCTTCTCCCTATCCTTCTCTTCCTCCTTCCCCTTATTCTTCTTCCCCTGTTCTTCTGTGACTGCTTTCTGAACTTTGGCCTTAGATATACATTCTAGAATCATCTTGTCAGGTTCTCTGGAAAAACCTGTTGGGATTTTGATTAAAATTACATTGAATCTACAGATTTATATAGGAAGAATTTATACCTTTAAAATAGTTAGACTTTTTTTTTTTTTGAGCATGGGATATCTTTCCACTTATTTAGGTCTTATTTAATGTTTTCCAATAAATTTTTGTATAATTTTCTGCATATAAGTCTTGTACATCTTTTGTTTGGTTTATCTCTAGGTGTCTTACAGTTTTTGTTGCTATTGTATATAGTGTCTTTTACAATTCACCATCATTATTTTTAAATTTTCTGTTTTTTGCTACAGTAAATAGAATTGTAGCTGATGCTTTTCTATCAATCTTGTAGCTAGCTACCACGATAAGCTCTTTTATTTATAATTATCTGTAGATGCTTTTGGTTTTTATGTAGATAATCACCAATGCATTTTCTAAAACACTGGATTAATTTTTGTGCAGCAGAATTGTAGCTGATGCTTTTATATCAATCTTGTCGCTAGCTACCACGATAAGCTCTTTTATTTATAACTGTGTGTAGATGCTTTTGATTTTTATGTAGATAATCACCAATGCATTTTCTAAAACACTGGATTAATTTTTGTGCAGCATACATTTATTGAGTGCTTATGGAGATTTCAAGTGGGTGCATGTAAGTTTAAGGTGAAGTGATCCCCATTTAACATCCTTTCTGTTCTAGACACCTAGTTGCATCATATTAAAATATAAAAAGGGAGAACAAAAAAATTATAGCCTAGATTAAAAATAGAACAACCTGAACATATCCAGGGACTATAAATGCAAAATGAGTGGGGCTAACAGTGCCTTCGGCTCGCTGGCTTCCCTATGTGGAAGCCGTCACTGGAGACCAGGAGTTTAGGTCTTGTGGTGTTCCACTGATCAGAGCCAGGTCCAGGGTATTACTTTTTCCTGTCAGCCCTCACTTCCCTGTCAGTAGGCTGTCAAGAGAGGAACCTCCTCATGGGGAATCGGGTGGAGAGGAGGAGTGTGCTGTCACAGTATGGGGAGAGCAATTAGGGTCACGTAACAATGTATATATAAATTTTAGTATGGGAGACTAACTTGAAATGTTAACTTCATTTAAACTACAACAATAAAAAAGGAAAAAGAATTGACTCGTGGCAACAAAAAAAATAAAAATAAAAAAGAGAGAGGAACTTCCTGCTAAATGCTGCCTGGTGCCATAGCTTTGGATAAGCTGCAGGCTTAGGAAGACAAGATGGCACAGATTTTGAGCATCAGTATGGAGCCAAGCATCTGCTTTGTGACTGGGTCTACAACATGTCTGATACCTCCTCGGGGCAGAAATTTTAATATGCTGTTGTGAGATCTGTATGGTTAGCCAGGTAGGCTAGGCTGAGGCAACCACACACTGATCGATAAGGAGGGGTGACCACAGAGTGTGTGCATGTATGTGTGGCGGGGCAGGTGGAATTGGGCAGGAATGGTGAAGTGAGCCTGCAAACCAAATTCCAGAACACATGAAGACATCTAATGCTAAGAAAGATAGCAAAATTAAAAACTGGAATGTGAATTTACTCCAGATAAAATTACAACTTTTAAGTAAACCTTTAATCGAAGTGTAACATATATACAGGAAACCGCATTAATCATAAGTGTACAGATGGATGAGTTTTCACAAAGATAGTACACTTGTGTGCACTTAACAATTTTTTACTTCTCTGCATGAATATTGTGCTTCAATAAAAATGTAGAACAAGAAATTACAAAACAAAATAGACAAGAATGGAACAAGAATAGGGTATACAAATGAGCCCATTTGAAAACTTAGGAGCTTCAAAACTTAGTTGTTGCAGTTAAAAAAAAAAAAAACGACCTCAATGGGATAAACTCCAGCTTGGTTATAGTTAGAGACTTAGTGAACTTAAAGATGGTATCAAGGAATTCACCCATAAAGCAGCAGTGAGAGACAGAAATAAAACAAGGAAGAGCAGGTAAGGGTTGTGGAAGTGAGCTTGAGAGGCTTCCATGCTCAATTAATGGGAGTTCCGCTAGAAATCAGAGGGAGTGGAAAAGAAGCAATATTTGAATGCGTAGTACCTGAGAATTTCTTAGAATTGAAAAAAAGGACACGAACCTTCAGATTGAAAGCATATAGTAAATTCTGGCCAAGATAAAAGTAAATCTACACCAAGACCATTACAATAAAATTATTGGACATTGGTAATAAAGTACAAAATCTTAAACTATTAGGAGGAAAAAAAGGACACGTGGACTGACAGCAGACTTCATATTAGCATCAGTAGATGCCAGAAACAATGCAGTAACATCTTCAAAGTGCTACGGAAAAGAACTGCAAACAGAATTTTATACCCATCATTTGAGAGTTTGGGAAAAATACTTTTTCAGACGAAGACTAAGAGTTAAAAACCCAGAGTCTCACTGAAAGATCTACCAAAGGGTATATTTCAACAGAAAAAGTGAGTCCAGAAGGAAGGCCTAGGGTCTAACAACAGTGGTGAGCACAAACTAATAAAATTCCAGCAAATTTGCTCTTTAATACTAAGAATTCATTTTCATAGACTTTCTATAACTGAGTAACAGAGGCAGTGTAATAGATTATAAGAAATATTTTTTAAAAAACAATTATGTACTTTTGAACAAACTAAAATTCTTTTAAATTTGCATATCCAATTGCAGATGAACTTCTAAAATCTTGCAGTTTTATATTTGTTAAAACAATGGCTAGGTTTTCTTTTTTAACTCAAAATCCCATAGATATTATTTGAATAACTAAGGATTGACATAGCAATGATTGTGAGGATGGCGCAGGACTGGGCAATATTTCGTTCTGTTGTACATAGGGTGGAAACCAGCTCGTAACAACAATAAGGATTAACTTTAGTATTTTGTCTTATAGAATAAGGTCCTTATACTTGGATATAGAATGAAGTTCCAAGTTGTACTTCACTTACTCTGTAGTCATTTTACCTTCCCTTAATCTCTCTGCTGAGAGCAGTACTTGGCACACAGTAAATGCTATCTGCATATGTGTTATGATGTTCATTCTTTCCCTTCACGTAGTTCTGCTCACGGTTTAAATGATTACATCTGTCAGGAGCATTGTTAAATTTTCATCTCTATTTATGAAGTCTTTCAAATACCAGTCTCATCCTTTGGCTGCCAGCTAGATTCTGTTGAAAGTGTCCTATTGTGATTTCTAGATGATCATCTAAAAAGCAGTAGCCCTTATTCTCTTCACCTTCCAATGTCAAGGGGCATCTCCTTCTTACTCCCTTATTTCTGTTAATAGTATTACAGATCCCCTAGGTTGAAATCCCATACCATCTTTCACTCCCGTGACCTCCGCATATTCAGTTAGTCGCCAGATTGCATCAAGTCTTGCTTTTGTGTTACCTGTTGTCATCTAGCTGCTGCCGCTTCTGTTGAGGATCTTATTGCTGCCTGGACTATTTCAGTAGCTTTCTAAATGTTCATCGCCTCACTTTTCTAAATCATCATTGCCTGTAGGATAAAGTTTAAATTCTTTGGTTGGACATTCAAGCCTTCTTTAATTTTGTACTGTATTAGGTAAGGTTGCATTCAATTGCAGGGAGCAAAATGTCTGGTGGTAGATTATTACCGACATTGATTCAGCTGCTTAAGAAGAAAGTTTGGTTTCCTCTCGGCCTATCCTTCATGGTTGTCTCTTGATTTTAAGGTGATTTCCTGACCCCAGATTCATGCTCATGTTCAGGTAGGAAGAAGGTGAAGGGGAAAAAGGATACATGCCAGCTAAATCCATCTCTTCTTAAGGTGCAGTCCTGGAAGAAGTACCCATCAGCTTGCTCTGAAATCTCATTTGCTGAAACTGGTTCAGATGGCTGTCCATCTACAGGAAAGTATAGTTTTTTTGTTGGGCACGTTGCTTTCCCAACAAAATTAGGGTTCTGTATCAAGGAGGAAAGGCGAATATGCATACTGGGTAGGCAGCTAACAGCTTGGCAAAGTATCCTTCTTTAATCTTTTGCTCGATGGTACAATGTTTCAGATACTTCACTTCAGCCCAACAAATTACTGAACATATGTTGTACCTTCTGTCTTTGTATTCTTCAGCACAGTTCCACTCTCCTGGATTGTCCTTCCTTCTCCATCCATCCAAACCCAATCTGTGTTCAAGATTAGTTTTAAATCTGATCTCCTCAAATAAAGTTCATCATGTCCTCCCAGCTTGAAATTTTATTTTACAATAAGCAATTGCTAGAGTAATTCATTTGTTGAGTAATCATGTTGCTTTATGATGTCTCCTCTTTTGTCTGTAAATGATTTTATTTGTTGGGTTTATTAGTGTTTTATATATCTATAGTGGAGTCCCTCAGGTTGTAAACTTGAGTTTTATGATCCTTGTCCATAGAAAACTTTAATCTGTCTATGATGTCTTATACTGTATTTTGTATGTAGTAAGTATAAATATACAATATTTGTTCAGTTAATGGGTTCGACACAGTTGCTGCCGTCAAGACTTCTTTGTATGAAAGACACCTTATCAATATCACTTTCATTTGTAACTTTATTGTTTTCGTCTTACAGGCCAATGTTCTGAAAAAGATTCTGCATGGGAATGGCTTGCCTTACAGTGACAGACATGGAAGGAGCATCTGCATCTCCTGTACATCAGAATGGTGACATTCCTGGCACTGCAAATACTGTGAAGCAGACAGAGCCAGTCCTTCAGGTGTATCTTTACCATTCCCTTGGGAAAGCTGAAGAAGATTACCTGAGGTTTCCAACTGGGGAGTATGTTGCTGAAGAAATTTGTGTTGCTGCTTCTAAAGCTTGTGGTAAGTATTGAAAAAAAAACAATATTTTTCTTCTTATTAATACATCATTGCTTTAATTATACCACTCTAATAAAACGTATAATGGATTATTCTTATTTTTGATCCTCGTGTGACTGAGAGGTGTGCTTTCCCAAGTGTAAAGAATGAGATCATCATTTGGGTAGAATTTAAAGTGAATTTGCTTTGGGCTAGGTATCAAAACAAATTTAACCCCATAAATGTTTTCTGAGCAGTAAGGTAACCAAAGAATCTTCTTAGTGGATATCTCATGGCATAAGATAATTTTAAAGCTAGATCCTGAGAACAGCATTAAAGCAAAATACAAATATCTTGAAATATGTATGCATTTGATTTAAATTCTTGATTAAATATCGTAGTTGATACTGACAGCTTTTGAAAATCCTATCTGTGTTTCCTTATATGTACTTTTCTCTTATTTGGTGCATGTTGAAATCATTTTTATTCTTTTTTTTTTAATTGTGCTTTAAGTGAAAGTTTACAGTTCAAGTCAGTTTCTCATACAAACATTTGTACACGCATTGCTATGTGACCCTAGCTGCTCTCCGTTTAATGTGATGGCACGCTCCTCTTTTCTACCCCAGATTTCCTGTGTCCATTCAGCCAGCTCCTGTCCCTTTTTGCCTTCTCATCTCACCTCCAGACAAGAGCTATCCATTTAGTCTTCTGTATCTACTTGAGCTAAGAAGCACTCTCTTCACGAGTATCATTTTACGTCCCATAGTCCAGTCTAATCTTTGTCTGAAGAATTGGCTCTGGGAATGGTTTCAGTTCTGGGCCAACAGAGAGTCCAGAGGCGATGCTTTCCGGGGTCCCGCCAGTCTCAGTCAGACCATTAAGTCTGGTGTTTTTACTACAGTTTGAGTTCTGCACCCCACTTTTCTCCTGCTCTGTCAGGGACTCTCTGTTGTGTTCCCTGTCAGGACGGTCATTGGTGGTAGCCAAGCACCATCTAGTTATTCTGGTCTCAGGCTGATGGAGTCTCTGGTTTATGTGGTTCATGTGGCCCTTTCTGTCTCTTGGGGCAATATTTTCCTTGTATCTTTGGTGTTCTTCATTCTTCTTTGCTCCAGGTGGGTTGGGACCAATTGATGTAGCTTGGATGGCCGCTTGCTCGCTTTGAAAACCCCAGATGCCACTCACCAAAGTGAGATGCAGAACATTTTCTTAATAAACTTTGTTATGCCAGTTGACCTAGATGTCCCCTGAAACCAAGGTCCCAGATGCCCACCCCTGCTACTCTGTCCCTTGAAATGTTTGGTTGTACTCAGGAAACGTCTTAGCTTTTGGTTTAGTCCATTTGTGCTGACTTTCCTTGTATTGTGTGTTGTCCTTCCTTCCACCTAAGATAATTCTTATCTACTGTCTAGTTGGTGAATACCCCTTTCCCTCCCTCCCCACCCTCTTAACCGTCAAAGAATGTTTTCTTCTATGTATAAACATTTCTTGAGTTCTTATAATAGTGGTCTCGTACAGTATTTGTCTTTTGGCAGCTGACTAATTTCACTTAGCATAATGCCTTCCAGATTCATCCAATGTATGAGATGTTTCACAGATTCATCGCTGTTCCTTATCATTGCATAGTATTCCATTGTGTGAATATACTGTAATTTGTTTGTCCGTTCATCCGTTGATGGGCATCTGGGTTGTTTCCATCTTTTTGCTATTGTAAACAGTGCTGCAGTGAACATGGGTGTGCATGTATCTATTTGTGTGATGGCTCTTATTTATTGGGATATATTTCAAGGAGTGGGATTGCTAGATCATATGGTACTTCTATTTCTAGCTTTTTAAGGAAGCTCCAAATCGATTAGAAATCATTTTTTATTCTTGAGATGGGATTATATTACCTCACTATAGCCTGTCCAAAACTGTGGACCATGGAACTCTTTCTGTGGAGCTGACACATTTTACTGGGCCACTGAGATCACTGTAGTACCTGTTACCATGGTACCTGACTTTTTCAATTGTGCTTTTAATAGAAAGATTAGTTGATATCTGTTTTTACTTTGTTTTTTTTTAAGAATAGTAGTATGATTTTAGTCCTAGAGATAACTTTCTTACAGATAGTATTTATAAGAATAACATTAATTTATCCTGTTTTATTGAACAAAGTAGATGAGGTTAGCTGGTTAGTATAGGTCAGAATAACTATTAAATGAAGTTGGAGGAAATGATTTTTGCATTTCCAATTTTGAAACAGGACATGAAAATACAACAAAACTCACTTAACACTGATTGCAAGATGACCAGTTTAAGTTAGTAAATAGTATACATTTATTTGGAGCCTTGGTGGTGCAGTGGTTAAGAGCTGCGGCAAGCTATGACTGCTAACCAAAAGGTCGGCAGTTTGAATCCGCCAGCCGCTCCTTGGAAACCCCATGGGACAGTTCCACTCTGTCCTATATGGTTGCTATGAGTCGGAATCAACTAGATGGCAACAGATTTGGTTTATACATTTGTTTAAATGAATGTGCTTGTATTATTTTAAGTATAATTCTTAAATTACTAGCATGATTCCCAAGGAATTTTTTAAGTTGAAATGACTCATTTTTAAGTAACAGTGCCTACCTGTACCCAATCTATAGCAATAGTCTCTTAAGATTAGTTGATAAAAAATTTAGGTTAATTTCTCACACAGTCTTTATTATACCATTAATTTGTTTATTAATTTATATTGCTAAATCATCGTATATTCTCCACAGGTGTCTCTTCTAGATACTTATTTTTAAATAATCGTGTATAATATTTTATAATTTTTAAGTCCAAGGAACCTGGGTACAGGTTTTCCTAGCATATATGCAATACTTTTGACTGTCTTAGATTTGGAGTCCTGGTGGCGCAGTGGTTAAGAGCTCGGCTGCTAACCAAAAGGTCAGCAGTTTGCATCCACCAGCTGCTCCTTGCAAATCCTATGGGTCAGTTCTACTGTGTCCTTTAGGGTTGCTATGAGTTGGAATCAACTTGACAGCAACGAGTTTGGTTTTTTTGATCTTAGATTTGCTTCTTTTAGAGTTTCTATAGAAAGTCTAAGGAGCCCTGGTTGCACAGTGGTTAAAGTGCTTGGCTACTAACCTAAAGGTTGGAGGTTCAAACCCACCAGCCACTCCACGGGAGAAAAATGTGGCAGTCTGCTTCTGTAAAGAGTACAGCTTGGGAAGCCCTATGGGGCTGTTCTCCTCTGTCCTATATAGTTTCTGTGAGTCGGAATCGACTCAATAGCAATGGATTTTTTTGTTTTGTTTTGCTTATAGAAAGTCTACCCCTCTAAAAGATCTCTGGCAAAGTACTGTACCAAAAAAAAAAAAAAAACCCTATTGCCGTCAAGTCGATTCCAACTCATAGCGACCCTACAGGACAGAGTAGAGCTGCCCCAAAGAGTTTCCAAGGAGCACCTGGTGTATTCAAACTGCAGACGCTTTGGTTAGCAGCCGTAGCACTTAACCACTATACCACCAGGGTTTCCTAAAGTACTGTACACACCCATAATTTCTTTCTATTGCAAATAAACTTCGCATTGCACTTGAAACAGCCTAATAGAATATAGCTTTTAAGAAGCTACAAATCCTGAAAGACATCTCTAAAACTACTATGGCAAGTGTTTCAAAGTACCTATATTCCCGACTCTTTCAGACATAGTTCAAATTAAAAAGAAATCCTGCAAATGCTCTATTTCACTTTAATGACAGTTTTTAACTCAGTCCTTACTAAGGCCTGTTTAAATGCTCAGCTACTCTGTTCAGTCTTTGATAATTTGTTACCTAACAAAGGCAGGAAGTAAGTGACAGGCACAGAGCATGTGAGGTTTAACCACCATCCTTTCACATCTTATTTATAGCATTCTTAATGTGAGAAGTTGAGGGAAGATAAGCTGTGGAGCACAACTTGCCCTTCTTGTTCTTTCTTTTCAATAATGTTAAAGTTCTAGTTGCATTAAATGAATGGGAGGCTGAGAGAGAAGAAACAATGTGAAAAGAGGAAATGAATGATCAGAGATGTAAACTATTTACAGTGAGTTTTTTAGGCATTAAGCTCCATTCTCCTTTCTTTGGCTTTGGTAAATCCTTTTTTTTTCTTTCTCCCTTGACACAAAAGCAGAGGTGAGTTCAGGAGGCTGCTCTGTACCTTTGTCATAGTTTGTTTTAGGAAAAGCAAGTTGCTTCCCTTTTTAATGCTGGAGACCCATCCAGTTACTGAGAGCTACTGTTGATACAGCTGTTTAAAATTATGGATATGAAGACTACATAACAACAAAGAAAAATACTTTTAATGTTGGATTTAAAAACCTTAAGAAATGGCAGGTACTCTTTGGTTATAATGCTTTAAACCAAGCAAAATCCTATTTTTTTTTTTTAAAAGATTAGAAGGAAATCTAGTATACCTAAATATTAATGGTTGTTGTGTTAAATTGGTGAGATTTGGGTGATATTTTTTCCCATACCTTTTTATAAGTATCTGGAAATATAATTATTTTACTTCATAATGGAAAAATAAATTATTTTTAAAATACCATATCATTCAGACTGTGAACTAGGAGAGCCATATGTATAGTTGATACTCCTTATGGATTCATATAGTTTACTATGTTTGGAATGGCTGACTCTCTACCACTAGCATAGTCTTAATTGCTTGTCAAGACCAGGTTATGTTATTGCCTCAGTTCAGTTGCTTTTCCATCCCTACGTGACTTAGTTATAGAACTTGTCTCTTTGAATTTTGGATATTTGTCTGTGTCTTTTTTTTTCTTTTTGAAGATACAGTCAGTTCTACCATAACGTGACATATGTGTTCCTAAAACTCACTGTGCTTTGCAAAATTGTTCAGTAGAAACCACAGGGCTTATGGGAAAAATGGGGTTAGGGGCAGAACCCTCAAAAACTTTGTGACTTTTTTTTTTTTAAAAAAGGACAAAAACCAAATAAGAACAGAACAGTTTTATACACTAAATAGCTAAGAATTATATAAATGCTGCAATAAATATG